CATAGCTATGTGCCAGACTCATAGACTGTGGTGTGTGAAACAGACCAGTGAGAAATCCCACTGGACAGGCAGCAAAGAGTTAGACTGTAGTCTACCAGAGAGGAATCTTTCCACTGCCGTGAGAAGACCATGTGAAATGAAAGACTTTCCCAGTAACTACAATGTTGGACTAAGCCATCACACTGATTTCTTTGCCAATCTGAAGCAGACATGGAAATCTGAAGCATTTAAAGGAGTCAAACAAATAGCAAAATGGAAACATCAAATAGATTCAAATGCAAAAGGGAATCCTCCATGGAAAACAAGTCTAACAAGTAAAAATGATACAAAGATTCAGATACAAAATAAATCGAATCAACTGAAAAGTCAATATAACCTTTTTTCCTAGTGTGTTATCTATGTTCAGATGGAAACCACCATAGGACAAGCCTCTTATTCTACGGCCAAAACTGAGGGATAAAAAGAAGTACACGGTGAATATAAAGATGAGGAAAGATCTTGAATTCATAAAATATGTGGAAAGAGATAATTCACACACAAAAAAACATATTTTTGACTATTTGGAGAACACAAAAGAACAACTTCTATTTTACTATCTGGTGTTAAGAAATGTGACGCTTTTCTTCCATTGCTTTTCACAGTAATGTTGCCAGACTTCGGGTCCCAGACTGTGCTTCAGCAAGCTAGGTTCAATCATTCATCTTCCATAAACCCATTAAAGCAGGCAATTTAGTAGTAAAAAGCAGAAAAAGAGAATCATTCAGTATGGCCACAATGGGAAGAGGGACAAAGAGATCCAATGGCCCCTTCCCACCTAAGTCCTTCCTCTGACTCCGAAGTAAGGTTGAGATGTAAGGAGAGAGAGAGAGAGTTATGTAAGCAGACCCAGAAGTGCCCCCAACCATTAGTGGCAGGGCTTCAGTCTCTCCAGGAGGGTTGTCTGACATGTTGTCAGTACTATGGGAAATCTCTTTTCAGGAGAAAAGTTTCAGGTCTGGCTGACTCAGGTTTTCTCTTCCCCTGGCACGAAAATATTGAAGAAATTCCAGTTTCTCACCATGCATTGTTTTAATAATCTAATTGGCAGACTGAGGAACATAGTGTCTCTGTAAAACATATTTGTCCTGCTAGGCAAGTTATGGTAACAGCAAATTATTTTCTGAAAATTACATAGACCCTAAAACATGGATGAATGAAAGGGAAGAATGAAATATGTATGTCATTATGATTTGAATTTGAAAATCTATCCCACAGGCTTGTGTGTTAAAGACTTGCTCCCCAATAAGTGCTGTAATTTAGGAGGTCTGGAAACTTCAGCTGGTAAGTCCTACTGGGAGGAAGTAATCACTGTGGGCCTGTCCTTGGAAGCCATATCTTGCCCTATTCTCTTCCTGAATTTTCTCTCTGCTTACTGGCAACTATGAAGTAAAAAGCTGTGCTCCACCATAGCCCTCTTCCATGATGCTGCATATCAATGGCATAAGATAACCATGGACTGAGACCTTTGAAGCTATGAATTCAAACAAATTGCTTCTCCCTTATTTTATTTCTTTCAAGTTTTTGGAATACTAACCAAATTTCTGGCTAGCTCAATCTTTAACACATGACAATCGTCAATTAGTAAATGTTTCTTCAGAAAGAATCAAGTTGATTTTATGCAGATTCTTGACCAGAAAATTTTCAATATTTTTCAAACAAAATATACCATGAGGGCTAAAGTGCCTGTCTGCAAATTGAATGATAGTCAGTTTTACTCCACCTTCAGCTAACCAAATATGCAGAGCTTGCAAACAACTCCACATCGAGCTTTAAAGGAACACATCATACAACACCCAACTGAATTCCACACAAAAGGGCAAACAAATATAATTAGATAGACACAACCCTCAGAGGTCCCATTTTTATCCTTAATAGCCAAATAAAATGAATTGATTTCCCATTCCTTGTACTGTATGATAATGCTCCATACTGTCTTGGAGTATCTGTGGCTTTCGGGTGAGGAAGGGATAGATTATTCTCTCAGTTCTCTCTATGGAGAGAACTTACTGATGACTTGCTATTTTCTCACCATTCCTGCTTCCGTGCCTGGTTTTCCCTCCTTATTCATTATCACTAAACTTGGCTACCATCTATCTTCATAATTCCAAAAGCACTGCTGCTACATGGCCAGCTCATATATGGAACTTGAAGACCTAAGGGTACCACAGGGCCACTAGTCTAGAAACTGAAGAGTAACCAGCAGGCAAGTCACTACCAGATAACAGTGCTCAGATGCTCCTTCACCAGACTCAACACAGAACCATGATTGACACTATAATTTTAGTATAGTCCCAGTCTAGAATGACATTCTAGACCTATGCTTTGAAAGCGTACCCCTTTTTCGCATCTCCAGGATTAATAAATTTTTTTCCACAAAAGTGATTTAAAATCATGTTATTTTGTAATATGCTTTAGCTTTCAAACCCTTTTCCACAGTAGCTTCCAGATCTTTTAAGTACAGCTGAAGAATACTTCTTATGGTGCTTTACTAAATAGGATGCCTGCCCATGTCAGATCACCCCTAAAATGGCTGCCCACATCATATGCCCCCCATAAGACTACTGAAATCAGATAGAGCCTTGAAATTAAGTTTCCTTTCATTTCAACTATGTTAAATTCCTACTCCCCACCCCACCCAATGAAGATCACATTTTAAACAATAATAAATATCTAGCCCTGAGAAGTCTCATCTCCAGGGTTAGTCTAGAAAAGTCCACAGAATCCATGAAAGTGCGAATTAGAGTCCGTTTTAAGTCTTTCCCATATTTCGAGAAAGAGACCGACATAGGAAATAGAGGAAGACAAATACTGTACGAAAATACCTAAAAGCTGAGATCGGTGTTATCAGAGCTAATCATTTCACAATTGAGAGCAAGGGCATAATATAACTCAAGAGACTCGGTTCCGATGCAGCGCTGCTAAAAGGACATTTGGGTGGATCGTCTCTGCAGCGGTAGAGAGGAACAGCCAGGGTCATTTGCAAGGACTTTTGCCTCATTGACTCCTGTTTCCTCCAGGGTCCTTTCTGGCTGATCTGTCATCTGTGGTTCGGGAGGAGAGAAGTTATTTTCACTTTCTTCCTTTTTGCCTCCTGGCTTTCGGCTCTTTAGGAAAGTGTTTAGCTCAGAAAACAGCTGGCCACTGTCAGTTTCGGGTAGGGTTATGAGACACAGCACCCGGGTGTTCATTTCCGAGATGGCTTTGAAAGCACTTGTGTTTGCCTTCACCTTTGACTGCCTGGACCTCTGTGTTTACTCCTTATGAAAAAAGAAAGTGGAGAGAAAAAAGACAGGAGTCTCTCTGCGCTACTAATAATCCTCTTCGTCAGGCTGGCTGCACGGTTTGTGGAAAACAGACTGAAGCAGTGGAGAGGCTACTGTGGTCAGCCTCACATGGGCTAGTGGGCTGGGGTGTGAGGAAGGGTCTGAGTGAGATCATGTCTATTTCCTCTAGAAGCCCAGGACCCCTGGCCTGGCCTCTTCCTCACTAGGACTTTCTCAAGAACTGCCAGGCTTCTAACAATGCCCTCCTGACTCTTCGGATGGTTACTTCTTTCGGGTGGTCTGGATGATGTTCCTTCAGAAGTTGCCCTTCAGGTCATCTATTCCTCTTCTCCAGGCTTTTCATTAGTTCCCTATCTACCATGAAAAACCCAAATAAAAAAAACAGGCATTTTTCAGCTTTGAAAACACTATGGGCTAAAGTTATGTAGATAATTCTACCAACAGAACCACCTATCTGAACAGGGTCTTCAGTCTGCATCCATTTCCACAGCATCCATTTCTTCATGGTAAAACATCTTTTTTTTTTTTTTTTTTTGGTGGAGTGTGGGGGGCGGGAATACTTATTTGGCCTTTTCATGTAAGGCGGGAAATTTATTTTAAAATGTTCACTTCTTAAAGACAGCAAGAAATGTGAAGATTAGGTCAGAAGAAGCTAGGCTGACAGCTCAGTCAGAAAAGCGCTTGCCTTACAACCATGAAGACCCGAGCTCAACCCCAGAACCCACGTGAAAAACAGATGTAGTGACTTGCATTGTAATCCCAGTGCTGGGGAATAGAGGCAGGTGGGCACCTGGGCCTCACTCCATCCAGCCCAGCCTATGTTGTGAGACACAGTGTTTATTTGTTCATTAGTTTTTTTCTTTTTCTTTTTTGGTTCATTTAAATGTGTCTGGTGATAACACCTAAAGGCCAACATCCAATGTTATCCTCTGGCTTACACCTTTGTACACACACACACACACACACACACACACACACACACACAATTCCCCCAACACACACACACACTCACACACACACATATGCACATGCACAACTCCCCCACCACACACACTCACACACACACATATGCACATGCACAACTCCCCCACCACACACATACTTGGTAGGGAGGAAATCCATTGACCACTGACACACATATGTCTGTCTATACACTGAAGCACCGTTTTCTATCATTGAGAACTGCAATAACTCAAGGATTCAAGAGTTCCCAGAGCCAGCCTGTTAGCCCGAAGTCAGGAAGTCTAGAGAGGTGAATGAGCCTGTTCTTTCACAGCAGAGACTTGAGTTCAGTCCTTACTTCTGCCCCCAGCTGGGAGACGTGATGCTGCTTAGCTTCTCTCCCTCTCTTTCTTCTTTGATAAGAAAAAGTGAATTCTGCCAACCTCTCAAATGTGTCTTAAAAATTGCGTAGGATAAATTGCTTATGGTTGTAATTCCATAAACCAAGTAAACACTTAACAAATATGTGTTTCCTGACATTAACCTACTATAATTTTGTGATTACTGTCTAAAAAGATAGTGACAGAACTCAGCTCTGAAAACTGAGCATCTTTTAATATTTAAAGTCAAGTATGCCACATTGGATATCCCAATTTACAAACTGAACCAAGCTCTTTTTCCATCAGAAACAAGAAGCATCAAACACATTCAGAAAATATTCAAAAGGAATCCCACCTTGATACAGCTTGTGGTACCTCCTCATAGACCTTCCTTTATCTCAAAGCCAAACACCACCATAACAGCAAGGGTCAGGATTTTTTCATACTCCAGTCAGGATAACTAGAACCTTCCCTCTATGCATGTTGCCTTTATTTTCTCAATTTCTTCAGGGGTCAGGGACAGTTAGGAGAATTTTTATATAGTTTTCATTTTTTAAAAATGGCAACTGTGGTCAAAGCTACAAACCCAGGAATGAAAGAAAGAAATTGTTTCCCCGCGTCCTTTCAACGCCTTGCAGAGGACACTTCCAAATGCTGTCCTTGGTGAATGCTGATTGTTTTAGCTAACACTGCCCTCTGTTGGAAAAATGGCTCACTTCTCTTAAAAAAAAAAAAGCAAGAAATTAATATCCTGACTAAACATTTCAGGGACCCAGCCTGTCCTAGTCAGAACAGAAAGAGAACTAACAGGAGACCCCCTATGGAAATCTAACAATACAACCCTCTAGATTTTATTTAAATAAAATTATGCACTTTCTATTAAAAATAAGTTTTAGCTTAAAACTTTTTGTTTTGAAACCGTTTTGACCCTCTTTCTCACTGTCAAGAGTGGGCGTGGTAGCTCACAGACTGCGTAATTTAGAAGGCTGAAGAGGTCACCTTTGCCTACAAAGGAACTGGGAAACTGGGCTGCGCTTTAGGCTATCAAGAATGAAAATGCTTCTCACCATGTAACTGCCGTGTCAGCACTGGAGATGATCTAAGGAGGGACACTAGAACCACTCCCTTTGGCTCTCAAACTATTGAGACAAGGGGCTACAAGAAATTAGTGTCCCCCAGACTCTTATTCAGGGAGAAGGAAAAAGTGTGAGGCTGATTCCAGAGAAGGAACTTATCTCTGATTTCACACAATTCTGACAACTCATCAGACCACCTTCCAGGAGAAAATGAAGTCCAGATGATGATGGACAGACAAAACTGCTCAAATGTGCATATCTTTTAACCTCCATTTAAAACTAAACTGTATCAGGACAGGAAAGATGGAGTGGGGAGAGAGAAGTGTCACTACACCTCTTCGTTTCTCTTTTGATGTGGTCACATTGACTAAGTCTCTGGTTTTCATTATTATTTGACAGTTACAGTATCCTAATGAAGAAGGACAGGTAAGTCTACCTTGGTAGGGATTCCAGAGTCCAGTTACTGACTTTAGCAACAACCAGAACAAAAAAGAAAAATCACAAAACATGAGATTTAAACATGTGTCCATGCTGGTATCTTATATACTTCAATTTTTAAGTTATAGAAAGTATTTAATTATCAAGAACATCCCTAAGCAAAACCAAATGAACCTCATTATTCAGTTCCAAACTCAAGCTCTTTACTATCTCTAAGGAAACAGTAAAAATGCATATTTTCAAGTACAAAGAAAATGAATCGAGAGGCTTTATCCACACAGTAGTATAATAGAATTACTGTATAAGTTAATGAGTGATGGCGATTGATAAGCTAAGACAGCATAAAAATGAAAAATAGCACATAAGAAGAGGACTAGACAGTCAAAGAACCTCATGGAATCTTCAGGAGGAATAAAAAAAAAATCTCTCCAGAGGATGGATTTTCAGCTATGTTAAAATCCGTAGTGAGCAATCTAACTGCAGCCGTATACTCAATTGTAAAATAAACTCACAGCATGCTTTTTATTATCCTGTGTATGTAATGGTAGTATGGATTGTCTCCTCAGCTTGTTCAATTGCTTTGACTCCAGCAAGCGCATGCCAGACTCCCAAATTAGAGAACAGCCTTCAACAATGTATTGCATCTGTAGCCATTGAGTTATAATACCTTTTAGTAATTCCAAACAAAATAAATCCACTGGAAAGTCTTAACTAACAACTAGAATTGAGGCTGCATTTACATAAAAAGAGTGTAATCTGATAATCCATCTTTTAAGCAGATCTGTAATAGCACCACTTACTCTATAGATAACCAGGGCATTCTAATAAATAGTACTCTGCTCCCAGAAAGGCTTTGAAACAAATCAACCAGTCAAGCCTGCCCTTAAGAAATCCTGCTCTGCGAGAGAAGAGGGAAATGGCTGCTGGTGGCCAGCACAGCCCCAAGAGAAGGAGCTAGGCTTCACTGAACAGGCTCACTTTAGACTTCCCAAATTAACTCATCTACTAACTATCACCACCTCCCAATATAAAAGCAGATGCCAAGTGCACAGACATGGAGAGAATGGGTTTAAGAATCTCCCACAGAGGTCTGGAGTGAAGGCTTGACTATTAAGGGCACCCACTGCGTTTGCAAAGGACTGCAGTTCAGTTCCCATTCACACATGGAAGCTCACAAAACACCTTCTTCTGGCTTCCTCTGCAGGCACCAGGCACGCACATGGCACACATGCATACACGAAGGCAAGATACTCAGATGCATAATTTTAATAGCTCATAGATAGCACAGAAATATAAAATGTTTTCCCCGAGTCCCCTAACCTCAGTCTTCTTCTCTATTTTTGACTTAATTTCTAAATCTACATAGAGCAAACTGGGTATGAGTTCATCTCCAAAGGGAAAATAATTATGGTTCTCTCACTTTCACATGGCTGTTCTACCAAGAGCAGTGCCTGGATTTTGGAATATTCTCTCACAGACTCTGGTGAACACTTCAGATACTTCTTCAAAGTAGATTCTGGCTCATATAATTAAGTCATATCCAACATACTTTATATACAGGTGTGAAAATTCAGACTATGCTGGATTACCTACTTCTAGTAGGTCTAGCTGTAATATCCTATGGGCATATCAGATAACCTGCAATTAGTTCATGTAGCTATATTAATATATAGTGCAGGGGACTATAAAGATTTCTCAGTGGTTAAAAGTGAATACTGTTTTTGCAGAGAGCATAAGTTTAGTTCCTAGAACTCGTGTAGAGCAGACCACAACCACCTGTAACTCCAGCTCTAGGGGATCCAATGCCTCTGGTTTCCTTGGGCACTTGAACTCTTGTATACACAACCACACACAGCCATACACACATACACATAATTAAAAATAAAGCAATTTAAAAGCTATCGTACCTAATACAATACAGATAACACATCATCCATTATCTGACTCTGGGGGAGAAATCAAAGGCTGCCAAAGAAACTTAATGATGCCCAAAAACACGATGGAGAAATTCTACCTAGCACTCACTACCTTCTCCTGGCTGCTGTCAGTCAATAACACATTTTGCTTGTTTATTTTTGTGGTTAATTTTATTTCTTTGTTTATCACATTTACCCTGTGTTCTTGACTTCAGAAAACATTCTTTTAAAGATTAAGTTTGGTACCATCTCACTTTTAACATCAGGGAGAGGAGTCTGTCTATGTAACTTATCATCTCTAGAGAGAAAATTTAGAAAAGTGCAGTTTCATCACCCTGTCTTACTAAGACTTCTTTCTCTGTCTTTGGGTGGGGATACTCAAAACTCTTACTTTTCACTCTCCACAGTTCTAAGCTGAATGTGAGCTCTTTCTAGTGAAGCAACACAAGGAATCCATGTGAGCACACATGCTCATGGCCTCTTAGCACTGTGGATTTCTTTCCTTCTAAATGGGCCTTCTGAGGAGGATCCCTTTAACCTAGATGATTAGATAGCCAGACCCAACTCAAAGCCTACTAAGAGCACAAAACACCTACACCTAAGCATGGTCCCTCTGTTTTTCCCCAATCCCTAAGTACAGAATGGGATTTGGGGCAGCTCCTCAAAGACCCTGCGTCCCGAAACCCAGTGTTGATATTGGAAGTGCTTGGTACTCAAATGGCACTGCAGAAGCCAGGAGTGCACTTTATAGTCTCAAAACAGAAAATGTTACCCTGATACTTATACCTAAAGAGCTTGAAGAAATACTTTTCCGGATATCATTTTTTGCACCCACCTGAACTGTCGCTCCACTATGAAACCCTGTCTAGATGGTGGTATGTAGTCCACACTATTGCTTTCTTTCTTGCACAGGGAGACAAGGTTACATATTTGGCATTTTATTTCCTGACACCAATGTACATATCCAGAAAGGCCTCTATGGGCTACCTTCACAAACAAAACTGTCTAGCATTGACCTAGTCCATTTACACAGCACCCATGTGGTCTCCTTGAACACCTGCATAGCCAAGTGCTTTTATGAGCTTCTTATGTACAGTCAATTGTCAAGGTCAAATGAACATGAGGATGGTTTTAGAAGATAACAGTCAGAAGTGAACAAATACAACAACTATAAAAGTCTTCCTGACCTGATATAAGCCTCTGGGGACTGCCAAGGTCAGAGTGGCCTTTGTAATCCAAGTGCTTTCCTAGATTATACTTTGGTCCCTTATTCTGAAGACTTTTACTTTTAGTCCACACATTACTGTGGTCAGAACACCAAGTGCTGGAGTCTCTAAGCAGTCCCCAGTAAATAGCACACATCTTCTTCTCTGTTCCAGGTTCTGAACAAATGGAAAAAAAGAAGAGCTAATGAGTGAAAAACAAGTGCCCAAAATAACTACTGCTTTATGATTGATAAAATCCAAGTTGGAGACTGCAACCTAGCATGCGTGCCTGTCACTGTTCCTATAGTGGGATCCCAGAGACAGAGATTTATTCATATGTATACAAAAGGGATAGTTTTACTTGACACCAAGTAAAAGCAGATGTTTCTTTCCAAATGTACCAATCATCTAAGCTATTTCCTCTCTCCAAAGGCAAAATGATTAAGGGAAAGAAAGAAGAGAATATATTTAAGGAAATTCCATTCTCATAAAAATCAGAGTATGGAAAAATAAGTATTCCTGCAACACTCGTAACAACATGAAAAAAATCATTGGTTGAAATGACTCCCTGAACCATGAGATGCCTCTACTCAGGATATGTATCTCAGCAACCTTGGATCTTCAGCACTCAGCATTGTGCTTGCCATCATGAATCTAGTTATGAGTCACATTTTAAAAGATTATGATAATGTTAAGGGCTGAAAACTAACCCATAAAGATACCCAGAACTGGTGAAAAGTGAAAATAAATAAACAGGATCTCTTTACAGAAAAGATTACTATTAGAAGATAGGACGTCCACAATGGCTTGATTCTGAGGTTCTGACACTGAGTTAATATTCAGTGTGAGCAACTGTCATCACCTAGAAGCCTTGGGCACAATTTTATCATGTGCCAAATAAGAACAGTAGTGGAAATCCTTGGGAAATAG